ACCCCACCCTGGTTTTAAATCCCCAAATAGTCCATATACAAATGAGTGACTTAGGAGAATTGTCAAACATTGGTTTCTTTGAGTTTTGTAATGCATAAATGTTGTTGTTGAGTGCTGTCCACTCAGTTCTGACTCAGGAATCCTGTATAGGGTTTCCAATCAGCAGCTGGTGAGTTTGAGCCCCTGGCCTTGCGGTGAGCAGTCCAATTTCATATATTTACACATATACAATTTTACATAGCATGATGGCTCTGTAGGAAAAGCACTGGACTGTGTGAGCCCCCCAGCCACTCTGTGGGAGAATGATGAGATTTTCTGATCCTGCAAAGATTTGCAGCCTCAGAAACCCCATACAGGTTTGCTGTGAGTCAGAATAGACTCCAAGACACTTAACAACAACATTGTGTTTTATCCAAATGTGTGTGTGTGTGTGTGTGTATATATATATCGTAATTGTTAAGTGCAGTGGAGTCGGTTCCAATCCATAATGACCCTGTATAGAGTTTGTAGTTGGTAGGTTTGAACTGCCGACGTTGAAGATACCAATCCAGTGTGGAACTTAGAGCACCAAACCAGAGCTCATGTATATGTTGTTGTCATTAAGTACCTTTGAGTTGGTTACAGCTCATAGCATTTCTGAGGCTTTTAAATCTCGGTTGGTACAGAAATTCTCATCTTTCTCCTGTCCAGCAGCTTGAACCACAGACCTTGTGGTTTGCAGTTCAGTATTTATCATATGTATGTATGTTTTGTTGGTGTTAAGTGTATGTATGTTTTGTTGGTGTTAAGTGCCAAAGAGTCAGTTCTAACTCACAGTGACCCTTATAGGCTTTTCAAGGAGCACTGGTGGATTTGAACTGCCAGCCTAGTTTTTAGCAATCCAGTGCTTATCTTAAAGCACTACACCAGGACTCCATGTATGTATATGTTGTTGTTAAGTGCTCTCAAGTAAGTTCCGACTCGTAGTGACTCTGTATAGGGTTTCCCAGGTTGTAAAACTTTTCATAGCAGAAAGCCTTGTCTTTCTCCCATGAAACGGCTGGTATTTGTGAACTGCTGACCTTGAGGTTAGCAGCCCAACTTGTAACCACTACGTTACCAGAGCTACTTACGTGGGAGTTGCTTATTTAAATTCAAATCTAATGTACATCTGCCAAAGGGTTGGTGATGGCAATATTGATGACCTAGAATGTAGAGAAGTACAGCACCTAACATATATATAAAGGGTACTCACTAAATGTCAATAAGTGTCCAATGAATTGTTTTGTCTGCATGGCTATAACTTCTACCTGTCATTGCAAATACCTGTGTACTTTTATGTCTCAAAAATTCAATCATGTTAAGTGTTAAGTAATAAACAGCTTCTGTCCTAATAACTTACAAATTAACTGTAGAACTTGCAAAATAAGTGACATTTCCTCTTCAGGAAGTCTCATTCTAAGAGTTGTATGGTTTTAGTTTTTATATTTAGGTCGCTGATCCATTTTGAGCTTATTTTTATGTATGGTGTGAGGTCTGGGTCCAACTTTATTATTTTGCACAGGGAGATACAGTTATTCAACACTGGTGAGGAAGCTGTTCTTTCCATATCGAAGGGACTTGGCACGCTCATCAAAAATCAACTGACCAAAGATATGTGGGCTTATTTCTGGACTCTGAATGCTAGCCCATTGATCAATATGCCTATCCTTATGTAAATGCCACAGTGTTTTATTACTGTTGCTTTAGTGTATTTTAGTACTTCAGAGCCTTCTTACTTTTTTCCAAGATTGTTTTGACACTTGGGGCCCCTTGAAATGTCATATAAATTTGAGGATCAACTTTAACATATCTGCAAAGAGTGTGTTGGGCTTTTGATACAGGGTAGTGTTAAGTCTGTAGGTTAGTTTGGGTAATATGGATATTCTAACAATAATAAATCTTCCAGTCATTGAACATGAGTGTCTTTCCATTTATTTAGATCTTTAATTTCTTTCAGCAATGTTTTATTGTTTGTAGTATACAGGTCTTTCACATGCCTGGTTGAACTTATTCCCTTCGTTGGTATTGTAAATTGAATTGTTTTCTTAATTATTTGTTTCTTGTTTTTTTTTTTGCTGATACTAAGGATGCATTTATCTTTTTTAAAAACATAGTGGTCTTTTTCCTTAAAGACTTGTCTCACTTCCTCAGCCCAGGTAATTTGAAACTTAAGGAAAATTTGCCTTGGGAAATAAAGCTTTTAAGTAATTTGTTTTGTGTTGTTGAGTTGGTTCTAACTCATAACGACTTGTGTAAGGTTTTCAAGGATTGCCTGGTAGCTTTGGACCACTGGCCATGTGGTTAGTAGTCCAGTGCTTATCTTACATGTTTATGTGTATATATCCTTATTATATATCCAGTGAAGTGTGCATTGAATGTTATCCCAAATATATTTGAAAATTTCTTCATATACTGTATCTCCTCCTCCCTTTTTTGTAAATTGTTCAACTTCTGAAAAAAATCTTATTTTCTTGACCTTAAACTGTATGTTTTAAAAACTAGGCGTACTGGTTTGATAGAGACTGTTAAGACTATGACCCTTATCCATCCTAAAGGTCTGGAACTGAACTCAGCTTTTTGGCTCAATTTTCACCCAAATAATAAAGGGGAATAGTAGCACTAAGGAAGTACCCACTTGTTAGAATAATCAGCCATTTGAGATCAGAAGGACAGCAGTCACCTAAGGACAAAGTTCAAAAGAGTTAGTAAAGAAGGAGGAATGGAAACAGGAAACATAGGAAGTGGAATAAGTGATGTTACCTTGGACTTGTAATCAATGACATGAAACAAAGTTAATAGGAATTTTTGAGCGGAAGACTGATCTGTAAACCTTCACCCAATTCACAATGAAAAGTTTTTTAAATTGTATTTTTTTTTAAAACAGATTTAAGTTGGGAAGAATATGAATAAACTAATATTTAGGAATCCTCTTTTGTTTTGTAGGTTGAGTGTTCTTTATCTAAATGTGAACTTAGAATTTTTAACTTGATAATATTTTATTCCTAGGACAATAGAAGATAGGTTATTGTTGAAGTTTTGAGTTTGATAGTGTTGACAAATAAAACAGATTAATTGCCTTCACTAATTGTTGTTTATGCATTAACCTACTTCCTGAGTAGATTGCCTAATTAGAAAGGATTTCTTTAAAATCCCTAGTTTGTGATATGAAATATATACTCAATTTACTGGATATAGCCAATTTTGCTTACAAATTTAGGTAAAATTTTGGAATATTTTTATATAGTTGATCGATTCAGGTCAATCTTCCGGGATATATATTGTCACATAGAGGTAAAATAATATTTGGACCTTGGAATGATGCAGAACTGGATTTGAATCATGGTTACCATACTGCAGGGTTACCATGAATTAAGTTGTGTAATAGTCATTCATGTATTTATTGAATAACAAATATATGCCAGATTGTTTCTGTTATGTGCCTTCGAGTTGATTCCAACTCATAATGACCCTGCGTAGGGTTTTCAGGGAGCAGCTGATGGGTTTGGAACAACAATTTTGTGATTCAGGGTCCAGTGCTTATTCTAGAGGGGGAAGATAAAACTCTTCTCCAAAACTGTTATCTTGTTGGCACGATAGAAGTGAGAGAACTTAAAATGATACAAAATGCCTAAAAGAACACTAATACACCCACAGCCATCTACTAATTCTGACTCCTAGTGACCCTCCAGAGCATAATGGAAGTGCCTCATAGGGTTTCCTAGGTTGTAATCATCGTTACATCTTTCTCTGGCAGAGCAGCTGCTAAGTTTGAATCATCAACCTTTCAGTTAGCAGCTGAGCATTTAAAGTCTGTGCCCTTAGGCCCCTCCCCTCCCCCCTTAAAGGAATACTTGTTTTTGGTGGTGTTAGTGCCATCAAGTTGGCTTAGACTCATAGCGAACCCTGTATTGAGTGAGGTTATAAATCATCATTCATGCTATATTTAATCGCAGATCAAATATTGGATCGAGTTCCTTCTTTATTTGAGAACTACATACTTTAAGAGATTTAAGTTCTCTGATATGATTCATTCATCCAGTCATTTGTTCATTCAAATATTTGTTGAGCTTTCCTACTAAGTTTAGGAATTGTTCTAGCACTAGAGGTATTTAATAAGCTTCTAGGATTTGAACGCCTTGTGTCATGGCTTCTGCTCTTCAGCAGTGTTTTGATTAAGTACAACAACAGTCTGTCTAGATCCACAAAAACTACTTATGTTAGCCTGATGAGAAAACACTATTAGTTAAGAGAGCAAACCTGTAATTTGGGAACAGAACCAACATCTACATCAGGCTCTGTAAACCATTTCTGTAGAGTCTATATAATAAATTTTAGACTTTGTGGGCTACGCGGTCTCTGTTGCAACTACTCACTATTGGCATTATAGTGTGAAAGCAGTCACAGACAGTACATATAATAATAAGTGTGGCTGTGTTCCAGTGAAATTTATGTATACTTCTGATCCTTGGGCATCATCTACAAGTTTGGTTTAATTGTTGTTAGATAGTAATTGCCAGGCAGTGAGATGAATGGTTTTTAGTAGCTAGAATTATATATATTTGAGGATTGTGTTCTGCTCTTGTTTCATCCAGGTTTACTTTTTTAAAAAACTAAATGTGTAGCTAATAGAAAACTAATAGGAAAAAATTAAGGTGATTTTTCTCTCCATCCCCATCCTTTTAAGAATTTGAAGGGCTCTGTTAAAAACTAATTATGCCCAGATTTTCATCCACCACAAGTCAAATTTTGTACATGTGAATTTTGGGTAATATGTACAAGTTCTTCTGTACTTGAATTGTGGAAAACATACATAATAGGAGTTGTATTTTTTAAAGTATATATAAGTAACTTAACATTTACATCCCATCAGCGCCAATGAACAAACACAATTTTTGATCTTGGATTTTTTTCCCTTTTAACTGGAAAATGTTACATGTTAAAAACTATAATTTAAAACTCTGTTAACTTGCTTTCTGTAGACACCAGAAAAAAAACCTTCGGAATCATCCAGGGGAAGAAAGAGAAAAGCCGAAACCCAGAATGAAAGTAGTCAGGGTAAGTGAAAGAAACTCTTCCTTCACAGCCCAATAGGTGTTTACAATGAGTCGTTCTGAATTTTCATCAATATTTTAATTGTAAAATAATGTGATTTCATGTGGTTTTTTGTTGTTGTTTTTTATTGTGGGCTCCATAGCTATTATGTAATTTCTGCAGTTATAATAAAGTAAATTCAGTTAGGAATACACTTTGCATAAGAAGTGATAATAAAATGCAATTGTAATCTTTTTGTACCACTTAGCCTATGGTTATGATTTTTAGGCTTTTTGACATTTCTCTTGAGGTTTTTGAGTACTAGAAAAGCAAGTATACCCAAATCTGGGAAGCATTATCATATGACCTTTCATTGTCTCACTTTATATGAATTGTGGTATTAAAATGTTTCTTCTTTTGAATAAAAGCTTTAGATCTCACTTTAAAGCAGGTATCCAAGCTATTAACTCCTTCCATTTTAAAAAGGCTATATATGGAGTCCTTGTCTATTGCTATAGGATAAGCACTGGACTGCTAACCACAAGGTAGTCAGTTCACCAGCTGCTTATTGGAAACCCTATACAGTTTTGCTAAAAGTTAAAACTGACTCAATGGCACTTAACAACATATAACAAATAATTAAGGGAGACTACCTGATGTGGTGCTACAGGATAAAGCACTGGACAGCAAGGTCAGTTTGAACCACAAGGTTGGTGGTTCAAACCTGCCAGCCGTACCTTGGAAACTCTACACAGGGTTACTATAAGTTGGAACTGACTGGACAGCGGCTCTTAACTTAAGACACCATCATGTTTATAAATAAGCTACTGAAATTATTTTCATTAGACTACAAAATCATATGTACTGGGAGCAATATGATACTATCATTTAATTTGAGCAGTAATTAGTCAATTAAGTATAATAAATTAGGTTATTGAATTATGTGTAATGATGGTGTTAAACATAATGTAACAAGTGTTGGAGCCAATTTTTAGCCATAAGGTCTAGGGCTACGAACCCTTGACTTACTGGTTTATCAATGACACTGGAGTTGAGGACTATATTTGCAACAACTGTGTTTTTAGAGTTCTGGTGTGGCACTGTAGGATAAAGTGTTTGACCACAAGAATGCAAGGTCTGCTGTTCAGACTACCACTTGCTCCTTGGAAATCCTATACAGGGTCTCTCTGAGTCATAATCGACTCGATGGCACCTAACAACATGTTTTTGAAAGAAGAGGGCTAAGTTATTCTAGGACCTTTTTTTTAGGTGTGTAGTACACTTCATCTCTGCATGTTGAGCTTTTTTTGGTCTCAGTTTAGTTCCCCCTTATTGTGGCTCGTGGACTTGGAGCTTTATTTAGTGTAATATATTAGTTGCAGTGCTTGCAATGCACATATAAAAATCATACTTTAAAGCAAGCTCTCAACTAAGGTTTGTTCCAATAATTGAAATTGATTAGTTTGGATTTCTGAAATTGGTATTTGAATTTCTGAGGACTCTTACTTAATAGTCTTTTGGTTCTCATCACTACCTTACGAAATCCCCAACCTCTATCTTTAAGGACCCACATTTTTTCTCTGTCTAGAATTGTCTGATTATCTCAGGGTTTTAGGATGACGGCCAGTTGTAATTGGATTTGCTAGTTTCAGTTTTCTTGATCATGTTTGCTTTAGAGAGAGGCTGGCTTTCTGTGTTTCATTTCCTAAAGGACAAGGCAGTTTCTTTCCTTCAAGTCCAAAGCAAATGTTTCCTGTCATTGTATTGGGCCAAATTGGGTCATGTGTGCATTCAAAAACCAGTTTTGTGCAACAGAGGTGTTACTATCCTTTAAAAAATCAGGGATAATGCTTCCCTTTGGAGGAGAATACCTAAACAAAAATAGAATTTCTGATAAGGAGTTAAGGGAATTGAGAACAGAGACTGGATGGGAGTCAGCTTCCCCGAAAGTCCATGGACTAATAAATAAAGGAACAAAAATCTGGGTCCAGTTAGGGAAGAATTAGGAAAATAGCTTCTTAGTACGCAGTCCAAACAACTGTTTCCTCTTAAAAAACAAAACAAAACAAAAAACATTTCTTCAGAATCTCCAGTAAAGTTGTTCAACACAGTCCTCCCTGACCTATAAATAAATCTGTACAGAACTATTTTCAAAAATTTAGATAACATTTATAGTCCTGAGTAATTATTGTTGTTAAGTGCCTTCGAATTGGTTCTGACTCATAGCAACCCTGCAAAAGGCTTTCCAAGGAGCAGCTGGTAGGTTTGAGCTGCTGACCTTGCGGTTAGCCGTCATTGCTTACAGTGCCATCCTTCTACTCTGTTCCAAGGTCATTGAAATTTTATTAATTTTTGTTATCTGAGTGATTTTTGTGTACTGCAAACCAGTGCCTGGCATATAATAAACACTCAAAAAGTATTAAATAACATAAATGAATGATTCAATATATATGTATATACACACACATATATACATATATATACGTACACACACATACATGTTGTTGTTGTGATGTGCCGTGGAGTCTATTCCAATTCATAGCGACCCCTGTACAGGGTTTCCGAAGCTGTAAATCTTTACAGAAGCAGAAAGCCTCATCTTTCTTCCACGGAACAGCCGGTAGTTTCGAACTGCTGACCGTGAGATCAGCAGCCCGATTTGTAACTACTACGCTACCAGAGCTCTCTCTCTATATCTATATAAACAAATGAGTATTGAGTATGGAGTCCTGGTGTGGCAATGAACCTCAAGGTCAGTTTGAACTGCAAGGTTGGTGGTTCAAATCCTTGGAAACCCTTTACAGGTTTGCTATGAGTCAGAAACCTACTCAACTACACTAGTCAACAACAGTAACCATTGGATGGATACATGTATATATTTATGTTGTGTACTTTTTTCACTGTATGGTACAATTAATTTCTCTATTATAACTTAAATAGACCTGAGCCTTGGTGTGGCATTATAAACACTAGACTGCTAACCGCAAGGTCAGCTGTGCAAACTCACCAGCCAATTCTTGAAAACTCTATACAGGGTCGCTATGAGTTGGAACCAACACCATGGCACGTCACAGTAACAATTGTGTAACTTAAAGTATATAATCTATATTGTTCCAACTAAGGTTGGATGTTGTTAAATGCTTTTGAGTCACTTCTAACTCATAATAACCTTGTATAGGGAGGGTTTCCAAGGAGTTTCTGGTGGGTTTGAATCAGGGAACCTCCTACAACAAAACACCAGGACTCCCAGGGATGGATGAGTGCCATTCCCACCCTCAAAAAAAAAAAAAAAAAAAAAAGAAATCTTCTTAGCAAGTTCTTATTAATTTAATATTTATAAAACTGATAGCACATTTTTTTAAAAGCAGAACTTTTAGTAAAAGAATATTGTGATCTGTTACTGACCTGATATTCACTTAATCATAATGACTTTATAAGAACAATATATAAAATCTGTTTTATTAGAAAATTAAAATTTATTTTGCAAAGTGGCATTTATATGGAATTACATTGTTGTCAGTTTGACAGAGATTGTGGTTTCTGCTAATCAAACTATTTTTAATTTTTGTTTGCAGGTGTGAATTAGTTTATCAGTTATGCAGTTGCTACTTGCCTTTTCATTTATTCCTTTAACCTTTATGAAATTAATAACCATAACTGAAGTGAATAAAATAACTTGAAAGCAAGTGATTTTTTAGTCTAACATATTTATTTGATTCTCCTATATTTGGGAAATTTAACATGTTGCTGTTAAAATACTAGTTGATTTTTTATTTCTGAAATTGATATTTGACCCTCTAAATACTCCTAATATCTGGATTCCCATTATTACCCAGCTAAAATATCATATATTATCTTTTTATTAAATAGATCATTTTTACATGTGTTAGGGGAATTGTTTGGCACATTCTTTTTGTGATGTTGTATATGGTAGTCATGATTGGTAATCCATAAACTATTTTATTTTTATATTTTAGGAAAAAGTATTGGGGGACGTGGCCACAAAATTAGCGACTATTTTGAAGTAAGTTCATTGAGGAATATCTCCATTTCCTAATTCTGTAGAATTTTGCTGTGAGCTGAAAATAATTTCTTTGAAGCACAAGGTCTTCAGAGATAAGCTGCTTGATTAGAGCAGAACTTTAGTACTAAATGATATCCTTGTCTAAAAATGTTAAATTTTACTCTTATAACAACCCATGAGGTAGGCAAAGGTGGTGTATAGGTAGTCCTGTTTTACAATTGAAGAAATTAAAGGATGTAAAGTGCCTCACCTAAAGGCAATTTCTAAATAGAAGAGCAAAGAGTTGAATTTCAAGTGTACCAGCTCAGAGTTCTTTCTCCTGTCAATCAAGGCTTTATCATACTATTTGAGCCCTTTGTATGGAGATTAGATATGATAGAGATGTGAATTTATAGTCTCTTACCCAATTTAGAATGTTTGTTTACTTATTTTTAAATAGAAACACTGTTGTTGTTAAGTGCTGTCTAGTTGATCCTGACCCATAGTGACCCTGTATAGGGTTTCCAAGGAGCTTGAACCACTGACCTTGCAGGTCAAACGGCTTTACAGTCTGCTGCATTAACCCACAGCGCCACACTAGGTTGGCTACTAATTCCAAGTAATTAATGTAATTTTTGGAACAACAAGCATTGATTTACTCAGTTGAAAAATATATATGTATACTTGAGACTAAGAACAGAATTGGCTGATTAGAGGAAGGGCTGGATTGTTTTTATCCCCATTCCATTGTTTTTCTTTCTTGAGTTTAAAGAACTAAGTTAAAACTGGTGACCACAAGATGATGCTCTTCATTTGAAGTGTCGGTATCAGTCACTCATTTTTAATGTCATTAAGAAGTTTAGTCAGGTGGGATCACTTAAAGAAACAAATATTTTAAATGCCTAATATGTGCCAGGCATTATACTAGGCACTATGTTGTGTTATTTTGTGCCATCAAATCAGTTTCAACTCATAGTCACCCTGGATAGGGTTTTTGAGGAACGGCTGGTAAGTTTGACTTGCTGACTCTGTGGTTTGCAGTTCAGTGCTTATCCTACTGTGCCACCCTGGGACTCCCCTTCTCTAATAGTTAAGTAATTAATGAAACAAAAATTACTAAATGGATTATAAACTGTACCCTGCGAGGACAGATTGCTCTCACCTTTCATCCATTGTACAGAATCATGAGAAACGAGTTGGTTAGATGGCTTCTCTTCATATGCAGCTAACTCAGATACATTATAAGAAATAATTGGATTTCATTAGAGTTTGTGCAGTTTTACTGAAGAGACTTGTCTATATCATTCTTTTTTTTATCGTGCCATGAACATGAGGATATTTAACAGATCTTAACTGATGGATTCCATTTTAGGATAGTTGATTGTGTCCCCTGACATTTACATATAAAGCTTATAAAAAGTTTCTTGTGGTTGGGGATCATATTATTTCAACAGACATTTGTAGAGGAACTGTACCAAGATTTGGGGTGGAGAGCATTATCATCAGAATGTGACAGAAGTAAGAGTCTTTACAAGATCTGGTTTTGGCATGTCCTTGTGATCAATATGCTCTAATAAATCTTAGGACGTAGCTTTAACTGACTTTGCATTTGCCTTTTGTAGACCCAGTCAGGTAACTGCTGGGTTTAGTTTAAAATAACGTTCATTTAAATGAATTCTCACTGCCATGTCAAACAACAAACTAAACCTTCCTTAATAAGTAATAATGTATCCTTTTCCTTTTTTGAAGTACCAGGGTGGGAATGGCTCAAGTCCAGTAAGAGGCATACCTCCAGCAATCCGTTCTCCTCAAAACTCACATTCACATTCCACTCCTTCCTCATCTGTAAGTTTTTACCTTTCTATTTTTTTCATGCTTAGTCTGTCTAGAAGGTTATGAATATTGAATAACTTTGATAATTTGTTTTTATTGAGAACTTAATGTAAATCATGCATTTCTCTAAGAAAAAGCATCCTGTGAAGTCAGTTGAATCCTTATTAGTGATCTTTTGTGCTCTTATTCAATGGAACAAAAAATGAATTCTCTTGTGTCAGTTGATACTCAGTCACTGATTTCTAAATTCAAACTTTCTCATCAGTTAGCTTTCTTACCCACTAGAATGCCAGTGTAATTTCTCTCTGGGAATCCTTAAGGAAGAAGGAAGCCATCACTCAAAATTGGATTATTAGGTCAACATAGGAGGAGGAGCTTATACTCAAAAGTCATCTTACAACTTTTTGTTTTGTTTCTAGCACTTTGAGTTAATAGTTCTTTTAGATTAATGATTTTGCAAATTAGGTTCTATTTTTTATCTATTTTGGTTTTGTAGAAGTTCATTATCTAACCAGAAAAAAATAGCACTAGTTTTCAGTCATTTTAAAATGAATTAAAGATTTGAAAGAACACATTTTATTTATTTATTCAAATACTGTTTTTATTTCTTTGTGTCCCCTTTTAGTCTTTCAAAACCAGGTGCCATCAGTCGATTCTGACTCACGGCGACCCCATGTTGTATTACAGTAGAACTCTACTTTATGGGATTTTCAAGTGTCTTTTTTTTCAGAAAAATCCATAAGGCCTTTCTTTGTTCTGAGGTGTCTCTGGGTGGACTGGAACCTTCACCATGTTGCTCAGCAGCCAACCACATTAACTGTTGACACCATCCAGGACCTCCTGTACACATACTTAATGTGTCTTACTCACTTTATACCTTGCCTTGTCCTAAGTAACTTATAGGACTTGGACTCAGCAATAATTTTATTAAATAAAGAGTTGTAGTGTTAGAAGAGATGCAATTTTGTAATCCGTTTTCAATAAATGTGTTTTTAACTAGTGGCTAGGTACACCATGACATGCATTAATAAATTTATGTTATAACTGACAATTCATGGTTACCTCTGGTACTAATAACTCTGGAGATCTTTTTCATTGTACTTTTTGAACCATCTTAATTTGTTCTTAGTATTTTTGTTTTAAAATAGTATCTTTGGTCTCACTTTACATAACATGGAAGAATTAAGAATTATCTTGTGATGGCACTTATCTGTAAGCTCCTAGAGGGCAGTGACTATATCTTTGTATTGCTCACTAGTTTTTATGTAGGAGGTACTCAATTAATGTTTGTTGTATAAATGGTGATTAAATTTTCAACTTTCAAGTCAGATATTATCGTGATAGAAATCTTCAGAGATGTAGGATAGTTTTTGTAAAGTAGAAATCTACTTTTTTTCTCATGCTAAGGCAAACTTTTACTGTATATTTTTTAGGTTCGACCTAATAGCCCTTCTCCTACTGCATTAGCTTTTGGGGACCATCCTATTGTACAACCAAAGCAGTTATCCTTTAAAATTACTCAGGTAAATGATAATTTAAAAACTTCTAACTTATATAAGAAATCCAGTGGGCAACTTCTTATTATAAACAGCAAGGATTTTTGCTGTTTTCTACAGTTGTAAAATAAAATTAAACCAAGAAGCTTAACTTTAACTAAACAGAAAAACAAAAAAGCGTTTCTAGAGATAGGAACTTAAAGACACCCAGCTTACCATTATGTTGTCCTTACATGCTGATGACTGTTAGGAGTCCAGTGCTTATCCTACAATGCTACAACAGGACTCAGTGTGGAAGCATATAAAATAAATGGAACAACAGTAACAAAACTGTTCTGTGTACTGATTTTTTTATTTTAAAACATCCATCTAAGTACATATAATTGATGTTTTTATGAGGCTGCTGCATTTATTATAAGTGGGTCACATCCAAACTGTTCTTGCATCAAAGCTTCTTTGGATAATCTTGAAGCTAGGATTATGAGTGCAATCCTTTCTGTCAACGAGCATCTCATGAAAGTTTGGAAACTTCAAAAATCAACTAGAGTGATGTCTAGTTCAAGGCAGTGATTATATTGAGTTGTAATGAGGGAACATATCAGTATTCTGCAATGTTAAATAATTAACCTTTCAGATGTTTCTTTGTACATTTATAATATTCATAGCATTTTATACTTCTGAAGTTATTAAGGCTTAAAATGGCACTGAGACTTTTTGGAATATTCTTACACACACACACACACACACACACACACACACAGACCAGTTTATAATTTTATTTGCTTATTTATTTTGCTTTTTAAAGTCAGTGAAATCTAATGTTATGTTTGATTACAATTGATTTATGTAATAGAGATAACAAAATCATTTTCATTCATTTAGACTGATCTCACAATGATGAAATTAGCAGCATTAGAAAGTAATAAAAATCAGGACCTGGAAAAAAAGGAAGGTCGTATAGATGATTTGCTCAGGGTAAGTAGTAATTTATGGAGAGGGAAAAAATTGAATACATTATTGTGCAATAGTATAACTTTTAATGTTATAGAAAGAAAGTACCTAGTATTGTAAAACATAAATATCCTATAGGTAAAAAATAAACTTCATATTTTGGTATTATAATTTACATGCTTGAAACTACCAACTTTAAAGTAAAAAAATATTTTATTAATCAAATATAAATTGAAAAAACAGTTGAAGAAATAGAAAAAATATATAAAATTTGTCTTAATTATCATTAAGACATATGTATTTCTTGTTAGTTGCAATGTCAATTGATTAAACACCTTACATTTGATAACTATACAGAATGAAGCAATCGTTACAGTCTTGTGAGATTTTCAGTGGGACTTTAAAAAAAAAACATTCCAAAGTATAACTATAATGTAAGATATAAAGCAGTGTTTCTCATCTCTTGCTACTCATCAAAAATCACCAGATGGAAAGTGTGGGGGCACTGTTTAAAACAGCCAGCCTGACCCCTACTTGCTGTTGTTAAGTGCCATTGAGTCAATTCCGACCCATAGCGACCCTGTATAGGGTTTCTGAGTAGCATCTAGTGAGCTTGAACTGCTGACCTTGCAGTTCAAGTGGGTTTGTAGTCTGGTGCATTAACCCACAGCGCCACACCAGGACTCCAAACCCTACTTAGGAGCTTTTTAATTAAATTGCTCTGGTGTAGGGGTTGATGAGTATTGGTACTTTTAAAAACTACCCAAATGATCCTAATGTAAGCCATTTTTCAGAACCACTGTATATAAACAAAAAATTAAATCATACCTGACAACCCACTAGAACATCCAGTATGCCATTCCTAATGCCATCCTGTTTCTCTCTCTTATCCCTTTACCATTAACCACTGTTCAGAATTTGTGTTTCCTTAGGTTTTATTGCATATATATGTATGTATTCCTAAGCAATATGAGAAGGGACTTCAAAAATTCATGGGAAAATGGAATTAAAATATAAAAACATGAACTTTATTTCTCATCATTAGTTCCATCAAGGTCAAGACAGTTTTGTACATGGTGATACTAGTCATTCAGGCCATCCCTAAGGAACCTCAGGGTCCTGGGAATTGAACCATATCAATGCAGTCTTTTTTTACATTATTAAATGAAGAAAAATGGGTGCTCTTTAAATATTTTTTAAGATTAGGAAATAAGATGGAGCCAAAAATCAGGTGTACGCCTAATGATTTCCTGTTGAAACTGTTTCAAAATTGCCCTTGTTTGATGAGAGGGAGAGGTATGAGCAATAGCATTGTTGTGGTTGAGGACTTTCTAGTGAAGCTTTTTCAGGCATATTTTTCTGCTAGAGCTTTAGCTAACTTTCTCAGAACACTCCCATCATAAGCAAATATTATCATTCTTGGACCCTCCAGGATAGTCAGCAAGCAAAATGCCTTGAGCATCCCCAAAAGTTATCAATACCTTTCCTCTTGACCAGAACTTTGACTAAACTGCTCCCACCTTTTGGTAGCCATTGCTTTTGTTGTTTGTCTTCAGGATTTTACTTCCAAGAAATGCTTCAGGATCTTGTTCCTGCTTGTTTAAAATTTCCGTCGAGAGCTCTGCTCTTGTCTGCAGCTGATCTGGGCAGAAACAGTCATAGCACGCATTAAGCAGAAAGTTTGCTCAACTTTGATTTTTCACTAAAATTGTATGAGCTTAACCATTAAGGTGTTTATGATGTTTAATCTTATTAATTGGTGATCCTTTTCAATTACTACATGAACAAGATTGTTTGCTAGTAAATTGATGTACGTGGTCTATTACTGTAGGCATTTCATCTTCAATTTCTTATGCTTTCTCAAAAAAGATTATGTCCATTTGTAAACTTCTGCTATCTTTGGGGGCATTGCCATTATAAACTTTTTGTAAAAGGTATCTATCCTTTTATCATCTTTCACCCAAGTGTCACCATGAATTTGATGTTTGTACTAGCTCTGAGTTTAGCAGAGTTTGTGTTGCTCTGGTAGGGAGGGATTCTTTTCAAACTTACCCTTTTTAGTGCCTCAAACTAGATCCTGTTCACACTTGTTATAAGAAATTAGTATGAGTTTATTTTGCTGCAAAACAAAAAACTTTCAAATCATACATAGTTTTTCATATGATACATTTTTGAAGACCCTTTGTATATTGTTTCAGTTTGCTTTGGGACTTTAATTAAAACTGTATTTAGAGATTCTTTTTTTCCTTGAGCATTATGTGTAGGAGGGCCATCCACATTGATTAGCAAAACTAATTTATTCATTTCACTGCTGTATAGTAAGGCATTAGAAGACTATACCATAATTTTTTTGCTTTCGGTGAAATTTTTTGTTTCCAGTGTTTGCTAATACAGGCAATTCTAATAATATTCTTATACATGTCCCCTAGGGCAAATGTATAAGAATTTCTCTAAGCATATGGTTAGGAGAGGCTTAGCCAGAATACAGGCATGCATGTCTTAGACCTAACTTTGTAATGCCATTTCCCCCCAAGTATTGGATAAGTTAACATGCCGACCAGCTGTGGATAAGAAAGACTACTACTGTTTATCATCCTTGCTAACACTTGAAATAATCAGATTAAATTTTTTACTTTTCAAATCAAGTGAACGTGGTATGGTTGTATTAGTTATTCTCTTTTTGCGAATGGTTTTGAGCATCTTTAAGAATATTAACCATATGTGTTTCTTCTGTGAAACTGCTAATCATGTTTTTTGCTCATTTTTCTATTGACACCAGTATTTGTTGGTCATCTAGGTTAATGTTTTCCCAATTTGTGAACTGTCTTTATATTTCTTAATGCTGTCTTTTAGTGATTGCCATAGATGTATTTATTTTTTAAAAAGATTTATAGTTTGGTCTTTCCATTTAAGTTGGTGATCTCACTGGAATTTATTTATAGGTATGGTATGAAATTAAAATGAAATAGAGCTTCATTTTAATTTCTTTCTCTGTGGTGGTAAGTGCCATCGAGGTCTCTTTCTCTATAGATAACCATTTATCCACCCTATTTAATGAAAAGTCCATTGTTATATAGCCAGTTCTAACAGAATTTTCAATATATGCAAATAGATCCATTTCTGGGTTATTTATTATGTTCCTTTTTTTTTTTAAACTTTTTATTATGAATTGGGTGAAGACAAAATCATCAGCTTTACATTCAGCAAATTTTACACTGCAACAACAGTTATCCTGTTTCCTCCCTGTGATTCCCCATTTCCATGCATCTTATATTTCACAAATAAATAAAGCAAAAAAATATTTGATGCTCACTTACAAAACAAAAAATATGTATCATTTAAATGTCCAATTCTGCCAGCCACTGTCCTGCCTGCATGCACACTGCCTTTCTCAGTCCATGGGCCTAGGCCTCACAGCTGCTCTGTCTCTCCATGCCATTGTCTCTGCTTCTGTCTCTGCTGACGCCACTTTTCTAGGTAGTGATCTCATGCTCCCCTCTTGCTCTTCCTATTTGATGGTCCTGGGATCATCTGTTCTTGAAACAAAGGGTTGACTAGACCCCCCCGCCCCTTTTAGTTACACATCTTCTACAATTACATTGTGACAAACACAATCCTGCTAACAGTTACTCACAATTGAGTCATAAAATCCTATCACTGTTATCCCCCATCCCCTTTCATCAGATCCCTATGGAAAAGAGGGAAACTATTTAGCAGGGGTTCTACCTTACCCACTTCATTCTGAAACTAAGCACACTCAAGAAAACTTGTAAACCAGCCACTTCATGCCTTTGTAGCGTGTGTGTGTCCCAACCCCCACCCCCCATTTTTGATAGCCAATGTCTGAGTTTCTCATCCCTGTCAAACCAATACACTGAGGAAACAAGGTTGTTCCTTGATGTGAAGAATCCTTCCATCCTGGTTGGAATTTTGAGTCACTGCATTCATAAGCAAAAGTCTAGTTCATCAAATGGTAGCAATTTGTACTTGTTCACAGTATCAAACGTCTTTATTCTCCTCTGTTAGTGTTTTGGTCAACTAGCCATCCAAGTTAGTCAGATGAGTACCAGTTGCAAGTTTGGGTGTTCATGCGTACCTCCTTGCACTTCAGACCAGCTGGCCACTTCACTTTCAGCCCTAAGCCCCAGGGGCTAGGTAAGTGCCTGTGGTCTCAGGAGTTCACACATCTTCCTAAACTTCAGAGAAGTCAGCCCTTTTTCTTCTTTCTCTCATCTTAACGCATGCCAATGGACAATAGTCAAACCTCAGGCCTGTGTGTCTTCATTGCTGCTTTTCCCCAGGTAAACCCAGATGGTCACCATCAGCATACTAGACTGCTCATGGGTTCTCTTTGAGTATCAGTCCTAGAAGGGGCTTTCCCTGAGGGCCTGACTTTTCTTGCTTTGATGCCTCCAAAGCAAACAGCTTACTTGAAATTCAAACAGCCAGTCTGCTTTTTTTTTCTGCATGTCTTTCTTTCAAGAAGAAGCTTCTGTTCGCCAACAGTTCTCTATTGATCAGCATGTCTTTTCAAGTGGGAATGTCCAAACTCAAAAGTCTAGGTAGAGCTCAAGATTCCACTTAAGGCTCCATACTCTACAATCTACAAAGACTTAACAAGGAGCCTGTTTCACTGGGCAAATTCTAAGTCCCCTTTTAGCAAATCCAATCAGTTATAGGCTAAAGGCGGGCTTGGTCTTACAAAAGCTTTCTGTTATCATAATTTCCAATATTCATTTCTAGCACACATAAATGTTTATTATACAATAGTAGGCAGGGAAAAACAATATCCACAAGAAAGTCAAACACAAACATTTTTTCCCCTCCTTTACCTATTCAGCCTATGTCTTGCTTCATGTTATCTACTCACAGAACTCTGTTTTCCAAGGTTGTATATAAATCAGTATTTATTTCTGTCCCATTTAGCCCATGCATACCTCCCTAAGTCTTGCCCTATATTCATTGTTAATCACCCTCCCTCTTCTTATGTATTGCCTTCCTCCTCATTGTATATTACCCTCACT